AAGAGCACATTAAGTAAGAAGAAAAATTAATAAGATCCCATTTTGCACTAGTAACTCCTGCGGTCTTGATCTAGCATAATGCTCTAAGAAATGAATATATTGAGCATTCAAATACTGCAAAAGTAAATTAATTTAGAAGAATGAATCTTTATTGAGTAGTCTGCCAGGACTCACTGGGATCTTTTAGTTAAATGAACAGTGCATTCTCCAACATGGAACAGTACTAAGATAGTCTGTGTATTATCATTCCTTTCTTTCTGTATTGGTCGTTGCTTTCCATAAGTCTTTACTTGGCAGTATCTTTGTCACATAATCCAGTCTGATATTTAAGGAGCCAGAGGACACAGATAACCTTATTCCTGGGGAAAAGCTGAGCAGAAAAGGTACCAGGGCTAGTGGCATAGTACTGGATAACAGATTATAGTGAAGATCGATTCTGTGACCAAATCAAATAGTTAAACCTCCCGGCCCTTGCTGTGTCAGAGAAGAACCAACGCTCTTCAATGCAATCTGGAGAGCAAGCGAGGCAGAAACTCAATCAACTCAAAGCTGAGGGGCAGAGCTGTTACTGAAAACTGCTGCTGATGAGGTCAGTGCTGCTCCTCATACACTGCAAAGGAGAGGAGAGGGAAAGAAAAAAAAAAAAAAAAGCATATATATAAAAAAGTAAACCACCTGTGCAGCCTGTTTAGCTTTGTACTGAAATGGAGCACAACAAAAAAAGACCCACAAGCACCTGCCACAGAGCAGTTGTCCAACACCTGTCACCCCTCGGCTGAAACGGTTGTGTCCAAATTAAGATGGGTCAGAAAGCTCTGTAGATGCACAGTAAGCATTTGGTGCCAGTGTACATGATCTAATGCCTGCAAAAGGGATCCAGTTCCACAAAGAGAAAAGGTGGAAATCCAAACTCCAGACTTCCAGGGAGCCTTTAAAGGGTTGTGCTGCTGCAGAGCCTTTTGTTTTCTTGTTCTTCTTGTTGACTTAGTCTAACCTGAGACAAGGACAAAGCAGTCACTTGCCCAAGGGACAGCACGAAGTTATACCTGTTCTCCTGTTGTTTATTATGAATTATGGTGAAAAGTTGTAATGGAGGAAAAAATGTTTCCTGTTATCTTTTGAGACAATGAATTTACTAATAAACTTGAAAAAAGAAATCTTAACTTATTGATAAGTGAATGCTGTTTATGATTAAGTTACAGTATAGAGTAATGTAAAGCATGCTGTAAGCACGTGGAATTAGTTATGTCTGAGTTAAGCAGAAAAACCGGAACATCTTAAACTGCACATAATTACAGTTGAAGAGTAAAGCCAGATCACACACGTCATTGTTGTACGTCTAGATCCTATAGCTAGATGATGAGACATTGCACTTGCAGTTTGTTTTTATATTTGTGTGATGCTCTTCCTTTTCCAGCACAAAGGAAAACATTAGCCCAAATTGCCCAGCCCTTTCTCAGAGGCATTTGCAATCTGAGTGAAAAGAGGGAAAACAGAAGTTTTATTCTTCTCACGTGAGACGGAAACTAAGGCACCATTTTACATGACTTCACCTATGTCAAGGTACAAGAGCACATGAAATTTGGGCTGGAAACAGAACCTATATTTTCTATGTCCCAAGCCTGTACCTTAACAGGAGGACTGTCTCCTGTCTTAAGTGAAAAAATAAGTTGGGGGAGAAATCTTAACTAGCCACATTATTCTCTGTATCATACTTAGGAGTTTTGATGAAGCTTTATTCAAGTTCCCACAAATATTTATCTTATATAAACATCACTGTGTATTAAAGGAGTTTGTTCTTTTTCAGGTTGTAATCTTCATTGTCATCTAATTTGACTGATATGTTTGAAAAATACAGCAATGTGTACTAATATAATTTTAGTAAGTAAGTTTAGAGGGACAAGGAAACTTCCTGGGGAAAACTGTAAAATGGTTAAATGAGACTTTGTGACCTCATAAAGCTTTTATGTAGGGTATGAGTTTGTCAACACAAACCTTGTAGGCAAGCTTTTTTAAAAAAAAAAAATAATAATCTTGTTTTTACAAATGCTGCATTGATGAAATGCTGAATGGAATCTCTAGGTAGGAGTGTTGTAAATATCAGTCATAGTATAGGGAGTCTTAAAAGGATGTCTGAAATATTTCCTTGAAAACTTAAAATTAATCTAAGCCCACTCAAATCACTCCTTTTTACTTTATCTTGTTACCATGCATTCTAATGTCTGAAATAGGGCAAGTCCTGAGTTTCCTACAAAACTTTCCTATGCAATCTACTTTTGTTTGAATTTTCTTTTTAATTCCCCAGTGACAAAAGTTTCACGTTTCACCCAGGCATTGGTAATTAGCCAAGGAAATTATTTAAAATGCCAGATGTCATGCATTAAATATAAATAATCTATGAGCTTGTGTGCAAAATGCAAGCTCCTTTCCTACAGGACTGCTGGATTTAACTTACACTCTATAGTGAAATAATATCTTTTTCCTACTTAACATCATTCTTCATACTTGAAAAGTTGATTTGCCTTGGTAACTGTGAGAAATGTGTGGTGATACTTGGTTTGCATGCCATCTTAAAATGTGTTTGTGGACATTGCATATATTCAGTCTGGAAAATAAACACGTTTTAGGAACGCAAATTGCTGAATTTCTTTATTTAAAAAGAACTCCCTTGTTGTATTTATGCTTTTTTTCAATGGTAGCTGTCAAAAGAGTAATGGTGGTTGCAATCAAAGGACGTTACCTGTTGACAGTCTTTTTCTCTATACTTTCTCATCTGCCCTTTCTATGGCACGCTGGTGTCTGTGGCTTCTGCATGAGTCCAGACTCAACCACACAAGGGAATGAGATCAAGCCTATGAAATACAACCTTGTGCCTTACATTCTTAATTTGGGGCTGTTTGGTTTATTGAATCATGCAGAACGAATGCCTGACCATGCTTCTTCCAAAGCCTATTCTGGCTACAATTGCACAGCTGGGTTTGATTTGCTGCCCATAGGAAGGGGGAGGAATCCCTATTACTCCAAGACAAATACAGAGCTGGGATGTGGCTGCAGCTCCAGAATTCCTTGCTATCCAGCATAGGATGATGTGTGGAAAATAAAACACAGCATAATGTAGCCCTCAGGTTTTTGGAACCAAACATCACAACATGCCTAGAAAATAGCCCCAGTTTGGAAAGGATTCAAATACCACAGGAAGAGTGTTCTTTCCTTCTTGAGGCACATACAGGAACTCCTGGATCAAGGTGTATCTCCATCTGGATGTAATAACACAAGTCTAAAAGCAGCAAGGACAGCAACCCTCTATGCACGTGAAGTAAACAAACGCCCTTCTGCCACAAACGCCAGCAAAACCAAGTTGTCCCGGCCACTGCTGCTCTTTCATCATTCAGCAGCGAGCGAAAGCCAGGTCAGCCATCCACGCGGCGGACTTCAAGCGCAGCGGTTGACCTAAGCCCCGAAATTGATGTCAGCCCACGTCAGCCCGGGCCGGGCTCCTGCCAGCTCGCGCTCCGTCACGCCCCGCTTGCCCTGCAGCTCTCCGTGACGGCTTTGAAGGCGTTTTTCCTCTTGCAAATTTAAATGCAAAAAGGATGCCCATTTTGGTGCACAAGGAGAGAGAGAGTAGAATGAAAATGTAGTGAAGGCAGGAACAGGAGTTGCTGGACTTGAAGACAGTTGGACAGATTTGATTTTGAAATAAAAATAACATTTACTGTAAACAACCACAAATTGCTTACAGTTTTGACTTTGACTTCTACATATCCTGTAGATTCTTACGTTGTTAGCTAGAAGGCCGTGATGTGATCAATTGCTCTATCTTAGGCTATAAATCTTTTTTCCCTTTTAACTGAGAGCTGTTGAAATTTAGGTAGGACCTAGAACACTGCCTAAAGACCTTTCACGTTTCATGGATTTCTGAACCAATACCTGGCTCAAGCAAGGAAGATCTGTCTTACAACAAGGGAAAGGAACGAGACAACGAGGTGCAAAATATTAATTCAGCACACTGATTAGAAATATACTGTGAGCACCAGACCAAAGCACCTGGTTCAAATGCTTGTTTGTGTTTCAGTGCCACTTGTAGAGAGAACAAGCCTGTATTTTCCTCCAGGGACATACATAATGAATAATCTACTGGTAAAGCAGAACAGGAAACTGCTATGGTTACTCCACGTGCTGTAATTTGACACAACAATTATCTAACAATAAGACCAATCTAATATTTCTGCTTTGAAAACTTAAAAGATTGCCTGAAAGATTTCAGTCAAAAAACAGATGTTAAGAGCCACACTCTAGAAAATATAGTATAATGAAATGTTCATTGTAGAGTTGTTTTAATTCAAGAAAACTTTTTTTTTTTTTAAGCCTTAGTTAATCCAATTATACACTCTTTTCCAGCTTGTCTGACTGCATGACCTTGGATTTAGAGGCAACAAGAGGTTACAGGCCAGCTGGGTGTGAGCTTGTCTTAAAGATTTGGGCTTCCCTCAGGAGAGGAGGGAACTGGCTACCCTGGCAAAAGCATCAGCCTTCTCATCAGAGTCTTGCAGAAACAGGCAACCTGTAGTTGCTCCTGTATGTTTAGGTGAAGGACTAGCTAGTCATGCAGGAAGTGGCAATAAAAAGCACTATGTATTACAATATTAAGCAAACTATGGAAGCACAGCTGCTCTTTGGTGCACCAGAAGCACATTTTTGCTTGGACAAACTCCTCGAGTTCTCTCTTTTCTAATATGGTGCTTTGTTTCCATCAGATTCGTGAGGGCATAAAGTAGCTTTCACTCACAGTTGCTTTCTGCAGCATCAGTCTCCCTTCTGGGCACAGGGATCGATGGAATTAACTAGACGCTAAGGAGCCTCCAGGAATGAGGATTTTATGCTGTAACCCACTGCTCTTCTTGCTGGCTTTCCTTTCTTGCTTTCAGTCACAGGGCTTCAAAGAGAACATCTGGCTACGAAGACATGGAAACATCTAAACAGCAGTAATAACAATAAACATGGCCAAAAAAACCCCAGCAATAAAAGACTCTGTGCACGGAAGCAAGTTTCTTTACTTATCTGCACAGCGTAAGGGATGCATGAGGTTGCTGTGGGATTTCTTATTCTGCAAGCTCCAAACTCTCTGCAATGAGTTTTGCTGGTGTTGTCCATTGCATGGATGAGCATGAGGAGGATGAGCCAAGTTGTGAATTTTCTTTTGTTCTCTTGTCTTGCTTTCAATTGCCATGTGAGGTAAAGCTACACCATTTATTGGGCAGAGCCCTCCTAAATTCCTGTGCTCTTCTTAATGACTACTTGGTTCTCCTTACCCATGGTTGTGCATGGCAAGAAGTATTTTAATTAGCCTCATTAAGGCTGCTTCACCTCTCCCGTTTCCAAGGAGTCCACAAGGTAAACAGCCAACACTTCAGAATACTTCAGCCCGCGTTTATTGTGCAAGTTATATCCCTCAGCTGATACCAATCTAATTACTTTGCTTATTAACTGTTACTATTCCAACAAGCCACCATTTGCTTGCGCGCACTTTTTTAAGACGCTCATAAGGAACGTTTGTCCCTTTATCCCCTCGCAGGTAGAAAGCCGCGCGCGGCGGGGAGCGCGTTACGGACGGGCCCGCGCGTAACCCCCGCGTAACGGACCGGGCCGCCGCCGCGTAA